GAGATCTGCCTGCCTCTGCCTCCTGAGTGCTGGGATTAAAGACATGTGCTACCACACCCAGCTAAAAAAATATTATTTATATTTTTTTTGTGTATGAGTATATTGCCTGCATGTGTGTAAGTACACCCATGTCATACAGTGCCTGTGGAGATCAGAAGAAGGTATTTGATACCCTGGAACTGGAGTAATGGACTGTTATTAACCACAATGTGGGTACTGGGAACTGACCTCTAGTTCTCTGCAAGTGCAGCCAGTGCTCTTAACTGCTGAGTTATCTCTCAGGCCCACATTCAATTTTTAAAGTTGCTAATATAATTTAATTAAGCTACTTACATACAGTGCCTGTGGAGATCAGAAGAAGGTATTTGATACCCTGGAACTGGAGTAATGGACTGTTATTAACCACAATGTGGGTACTGGGAACTGACCTCTAGTTCTCTGCAAGTGCAGCCAGTGCTCTTAACTGCTGAGTTATCTCTCAGGCCCACATTCAATTTTTAAAGTTGCTAATATAATTTAATTAAGCTACTTATCTTTATCTGTATTCATCTTGTTTTTGAAATGTAAGGACCCAGTTTTACTAAGTTACTGAATTTGCTTTATTCTTTGCAAACCTTAGTAGATGAATTATGAGCACCTTTTAATGTATTCATTATGTTAATAATTGATACTAATCAGCTAGCTTCTATATCTCTGCATAGAACCAAATAAATATGGAGGAACATATCCAAATATACCTAGATAACAATTTGTTATATTCTTTAATAATTCATATAGTATTACAAATATACAAACCAATGGGCTTTTGAAGAAGAAAAAGTTTGTGATTATAATTTAAACCTGAAAAGAATGCTTATATCCAAGAGGAGCTGTTTGTCAGAATCACTTATGAACTGGTTTTGGTTTTGTTTTGTTTTGTTTTGTTTAAGATATAGTTGCCTTTCTCTCTCACTGGCTTTCTAAGAGAATCTAAAACAGTGATATGCCGGGTGTGTATTTATTTATCGACCCAGCTCTTGGGAGGGAATGGAGATAGGAGGCACCTTTTTAGTGTTTGTTGATTTCTGTGATGGATATTTGCATCTCATCGAATTTTAGACCACTACTATAACACTGATTATAAAGTTGTGTAGTAGCCCAGCATTGTACACCATTCCCAACATACAGATAGAATATGTAATGCTACTTCAGGGGGGCGGGGTAGACAAAATTGGGAAATGATGAGCTTTGAGTATTTGTTATTTTGTTATAGCTAATTATAAATTAGAGATTCACATTGAGGTAATGATTAATGGTTGTGTTCAACCCATAGGCACTCATGAGCTAGTACATACTGACCCTAGTGTTATCCTGGAGCTCTGTGCTATCAGTTTTTCTAACTATGTAATTCTGAAGCAAGTAAACTGCCAACCATTTATTTTTCTAAAATATAGAGCTGATCCTAAGGCCCAAGAAAGCATTCTACAGTTAAGTCCCAAATATCTTCTAACCCCACTTCAAATCATACAAATTCTCTTGCATCTGGTGTCACCTACCCTAGTTGTAGATTACTTACAACCTTATATTTTCCCTACCCTTGCCTTTCATTATCTCCTTCAGTCTTGAATGACCTCATCTCATCTGCCCGGCTTTAGCAATGCTGTTTATTTCTTTTTCTAGAAATAACTAAATCCTACTTCCTCTCATTTGCTGCTGTTGAATCCCCATTCTCCTTGATGTTCTTAGTGCCTCATTTTCAACTTTGATTTATTGTTTATAGTAAATGTTTATGTCACTACATTATAAATTTCTGACAAATACCTTTAAATAATACTGTACTTAATATACTAATAACTTTAAAGTGATTAATAAACATTTATTTATTTTAATAGGACAAATTGTAGATGATACATGATACAATACAGCCTTAGCTTTCAGTATTTTTGAAAAACTGACCAAAATGTAAACATTTTTAAAGATTAAATCATGTGTGAGCCAGACGTGGTGGCACATGCCTTTAGTCCCAGCACTCGGGAGGTAGAGGCAGGTGGATCTCTGTGGGTTCAAGGCCAGCCTGGTCTACAAAGTGAGTTCCAGGCCAGCTTGGGCTACAGAGAGACCCTGTCTCAAAGACCGCCCCCCCAAAAAATAAGCTAAATTAAATTAGATCATGTATACCATTTCCCCCCCTGACAATTCCGAACCAAACTAACAGTTATTTATCCATATCTTAAAACTGGAAAACGTGATGATAACTCTGGAACTTAACAAAGTAGAATTTCAGAGAACATATGAGGCACTTAAAGCCAAAAAAGAGATGGCTCAGAGGTTAAGAGCACTGACTGCTCTTACAGAGGACCCAGGTTCAATTTCTAGCACCCACATGGTGGCTACGAACCGTCCTTAACTCCAGTTCCAGGGGAATCTGATCTCTGCGGCATTGTACGACATGGGTGCACTCACATACATGCAGGCAATTTACTCATACACATAAAATAAAAAATAAAGATAATAAATAAAATATTAAAACCGAAAAAGATTAAATTGTATGACTGTTTACAAATTATTTTTATTCTGATTTATTGTGCCTTATAGTGCTCTCAGAATAAAGACAAAAGGAGTATAAAGCCAAGTTAGCCTTTTATATCAATAAATTCTCTTTAGTAAAGCAAAAATAATCAAGCTTTAGACTTGAGAAATGTGTTCATATGCATAAATGGGTGAATTCCCCAACACTCTGTTGGAGTTTGGGCATTTTTTTTCCTGGAGTTATCTGATTGCCATCACAGTGAGTACTAACAAGATCAAAGTGTGTGACAGATATACTCAAGAGTCAAAAACAACCCAAGAATTTCTCAAAGCCAAAGTAGCATATTCTTTTTGCTGTTTGGGGAATTTTTTTCTATTTTTTTGCCCTAAGCTACCACCTAGTGGCAAAAATTAGGATGACACATTTTATAACATTCAAAGAGTGTATTGAAATTTGAATTTTTATATAATCAGCATAGATCTTCCCAAACTCCAAATAGACATTTGTACAAATATTATATGTTCCATAAGTTTGATGGTTTCTTTGGACTTCATAGAAGTCATATTTACTATTTAATCTTTGTTAGACAGTGATTCTACTAAGGGTGTTTGTTTACAATGTCTTATTTCTTTGATATAAAGGTGCTATTTTTAGTCTTACTTAATGAAGAATTTCAGTTAAATCTAGTAATTTTCTCTTTCCCTTTGACTTTTCCCTTTTCTTTGTTCAGAACGAAAACATTCAGACACTGCGGTGTTCTTTTACCTGTGGATCGTCTTTTGTATCATTAGTTCCTGCTATACCCTCATCTGGGATCTGAAGATGGACTGGGGTCTCTTTGATAAGAATGCAGGAGAAAACACTTTTCTCCGGGAAGAAATTGTATACCCTCAAAAAGTATGTATAAAATGTCTGTTCAAGGAAAAAACTTAGGTATATCAATAGTTAAATTCAGTTGCAATACTGACCCAGCCCCTAATTATAGTAACCTAATATGATTAGAAAAATAATTATCTACAATACTAATCAAGGCTACAGAAATATATTGTATGTTTACTGTGTGGCACTATTGAAATTACAAGCTATGTTCTAAAGAGACAAGCAGATTGCAGTGTAGGAATGAGCAGAGAGAGTAACCTCTTCTGAGAGACCTTGTTTCTCTTAGCATATTTGGCCATGTGTACTATGCTTTTTTAAAACTTATATGATCTTCCGTTATTGCAGTTACTACATTGTGTTACAGTGACACTTCGATGACTGACTTCTCACTGCCCAGCATAGTTCTTGGTGTGTAGTAGACTTCGTGTATGGAATGAACGCATACATGTTTGACTTAAGAAACAGCCTTATGAACTCACAAAGGAAAGTTTGACTGTCTGACTGCTCAGATTCATGGGGAATTCTCCTTTTGTCTAGCACAATGAGTATGTGTTAGAATCGAGTGCCAATCCAATCAGAAAAAAAATAGATAATTCTGTAGGAATTATTTTAAGATTTTATTCACATGAATAAAATAATAAGAGAAGCTGAATTTAATTTAAAAGTCAAAGAAACAAAAGTAGCTTTATATAGTTGCTTTAATGGGAGTTAAAAATACCATGATTAGAGTTTGAAGAAATGGCTAGCAATTAAGCACTGGCTGCTCTTGCAGAAGACCCAGGTTCAGTTTCCATCGCCGTAACAGTGGCTAACAACTGTCTGTAACTCCAGTTCCAGGGGATCCAACATCCTTTTCTGGCCTTCACAGGTATTGTACAACATGATGCACTTACATATAAGTAGACAAAACACTCATATAAAATAAAAATAAATAAAATTAAATACCATGATTAGACTTTGAAAGAATTAAATAATGAACTGGAAGTCTGGATGTGTGAATTCTAATCTGAACTATCCACTAACTGGCTATTTAACTTTAAGAAACTAGACTGCAGGAGATTCTCAAAGGTTAGTCATCCAGAAAATGTCTTGCTGTGTCCCCAGGCTAAGTTTCTGTTATAAATAAGAAAATAGGGGCTGGAGAGCTGACTTAGCAGTTAGGAGCACTGGTTGCTCTTGCAAAATTGTATTTTGTTTTTTGGGGTTTTAAAATACCTTATTATTTTTATTTTATGTGTATGAGTGTATTGCCTGCATGTATGTTAAGTACACCTGTGTCATGCAATGCTGGTGGAGGTCAGAAGAAAGTATTGGATCCCCTGGAACTGGAGTTACAGATGCTTATTAGCCACTATGTGGGTACTGGGAATTGAACACAGGTCCTCTGCAAGAGCAGTCAGTGCTCTTAACCACTGGGCCATCTCTCCAAGCCCTGCAAAATTGTATTTTGAAAAGTATATGATTGTGTAATATTCAGTAGAGAAGGCTGTTGTTAAGTGTGAGGACTGAAGAAAAATGATAAAAAGTGAACACAAAGAATGATATGTATGTAAGGTAACTTCAGATAAGCAAATAGAAAAAAGAGAGATGTTCATTGATAATGATCTTTGTGTTCTTAACATCAGTGATAGCAATAACCCCAAAGTGAAAATTTAGACTATATGACCAAGGCATTAAACATATTTTTGTAATTCTTAATTAAAAAGAAAATTAGTGAGGAGTACATAGCTCAGTGGCAAAGCACTTACTAGCATTTGAATGAGACCCAGATTTCAATTCCCAGTATCATAAAAAATAAAAAGAACCATGTCAGGCATGGTGGTGAGGCCTTTAATCCTAGCACTCAAGAGGCAGAGGCAGTTGGATATCTGTGAGATCAAGGCCAGCCTGGTCTACATAGTGAGTTCCAGGCCATCTGGGGCTACAGGGAGACCCTATCTCAAAAAGATCACCAAAATAAAATATAAAATAAAAAGAACCAAGGAAACCACTTATGAGTAGGCATGAATGCAGATGAAGTTGGTACTTTCGTGCTCACAAGTGTATTTTTGATTACTGCTTATGTTATTTGGCAAGTGCTATAACACATTTGTTTTTTATACTGATTGCTTCAGTTCATAGTATCTTTATATAAATGTTGATCTGTTTTCTCTTTTCAGTAGTTCTGATTTTATTGACTTCTACTTAATGAAATTAGTGAAAAAAAACTTTCTTTGTTACTACAGTATTTCATACCCTAGAAAATAGTGTATATACTTTACTATAACTACAATTTTTTAAAGTTTAAAATTTTTAAAATATTTTATCTATTATTTTTATTTTTTGTGTATGAGCGTATTGCCTGCATGTATGTAACTGCACCTGTGTCATGCAATACCCGCATAGGTCAGATGAGGACATTGGATCCCCTGGAACTGGAGTTATGGACTATTGTTAGCCATCATGTGGGTGGTGGGAACTGAACCCAGGTCCTCTGCAAGAGCAGTCAGTGCGCTTAACCACTGAGCAATCTCTCCAGTTCCCTGTAATTGCAAATTTTTAAGAAAAAAGTGAAGAAACTATTTGTGGATTCAGTAAACCTTAGTAACACAGTAGCATAGACCTCATAAAATCAGTTCCTAGGGATTGACAGTACATGGTTTTAAGTTACCATACAAGCAGTGGGTTTCAGTGTGGTGTTTTCATGCATTCTCTGTTCTTATTCATCCCCACACCCCATCCCCTTCTTCCCTCACAGTAGCTCCACTTCTGTGTCACTTGTGTCCCATTACTCTCTTCCTCCTCCTCCCTCAAGATTGCTTTTTACCCTTTCATGGTCACATGGCTCACTGTACCCTCCTCCTTCTTTCCAATACAGTAATAATGCATTTGTTTAAAAGGTAAATCCACATTCAGTGTACTCACTGTTGGACTGAAGCAAAGAACTACAATTCATGTACCTTTAAGGAATCAGTCTTAAACTATCTACAATTGACTGATATAAGAAACTGTTCAGAAGGAATACACGAGATCAAAGACAGAAAAATTATGTTTGAATATGGCAGTAACATAACTGATTTCTGGACCTGGGGTACAGTGTTCAATATAAATGTTAAAAATTGAAATTTAGGTACAGATAGTACAGTTAATAAATCTGCTAATAACCTAGCTACTTAGTCATTGAAACATATAGCCATGTTCCTACTAGAATGTAGTCCCAGTTGGTCAAAGGTCTCTTTAGCCTATATTTGGGGCCTTAGAAGAGAGTTTGAAATACAATATGGGAATGAACTATATTTGTTAAGTGGGTTCTGAAACTCAGTAGTACTTCATTTTCATAGTACACTGTACTATGTTGGTGGAAAATTAAATTGGTGAAATCTGTATAGCTGTATTCTTCTTGAATCTGTTGGCAGGACATGTGTGAGTCCTGACAGCCGATCAGAGGAGTCTTTCTTTGTGAGAAAAGCGATGAGATGTATACACAATCTACTTGTATTCCCTAGGCCTACTACTACTGTGCCATCGTAGAAGATGTTATTCTGCGCTTTGCTTGGACTGTCCAGATCTCAATTACCTCCACAACTGGGCTGCCTCATGTTGGGGATATCATTGCCACTGTCTTTGCCCCTCTTGAGGTTTTCCGGTAAGCAAACCATTGCAAAACATATTGAAGATTCTAAAAGACACGTAATACTGGGGTCAGCAAGGTAGCTCAGTAGGAAAGGCGCTTGCCACCAAGTCTGACGGTCTGAGTTCCATCCCTGGGGCCCACAGGGTGGGAGGAGAGAACCAACTCCTACAAATTGTCCTCTGATGGTAGAAGGAGAGAACTGATTCCTACAAGTTGTCCTCTGACCTCCACGGCATGGTGTGTGTGCCCACATACATATACACAAAATAAATAATAATTTAATTTTTTTAAAGATACCCAATACTTAAAAATTAGAATTTATTATAACTTATGCTCAAAAGGCTTAAAGTTTCTATTTTTTTCAAATTTCTCATCAGTTTAGACTTGGAAAACCATACTTAAAAACTTAGATTTTTACAAAGTTAAAATAACCAGTGATGATGACTTGTAACTCACATGACAGAAAGAGAGAACCCACTCCTGAAAGTTGTTCTCTGACCTCCACATGTGCCCATGCACACATGCACGCACACACACATGTACACACAAAATAACAAATTAATCAACTAATTTAAAAAGACGTAATGTAACCACCTTAGAACTAGTCAAATTCCTCAAAAACTATAGCTTACCAGAATCAATAAGGAAATAGAAAAATCTAGTAAATTCTTATCTATTAAAGAAATTAAAAATTAAATCCATATTAAAAATACTTTCTATAAGGAAAACTACAAGTCAAGGGAATTCTTCTAAATATTTGAAGGCAAATTTTTTTCTTATATTTTATTATTATTTTTAAATTTTTATTATTTTTATTTTATTGCCCGCATGCATGTAAGTGCACTGTGTTGTACAATGCCCATGGAGGTCAGAAGAGGGTGTCAGATCCCCTGGCTCAGCTTCCACTCTACTTCTTCCCTTATACCTTACTACCCTTCTTTTTATTATTACTTTTTGTGTATCAGTATATTGCCTGCATGTATGTAAGCGTACCCATGTCGTGCAATACCCACAGAGGTCAGGAGAGGGCATCAGATCCCCTGGGACTAGAGTTACAGACAGTTGTTAGCTGCCATGTGGGTGCTGAGATTCGAGCCCAGGTCTTCTGCAAGGACAACCAGTGTTCTTGAATGCTGGGCCATCTCTCCAGACCCTGAAGGCAAATTTGTACCATTCTTTTACAAAATGCTTCAGAGGAAAGGGCAAGAGAAGAACGACTTGGTAATTTGTTTCATGCTCCAGCATGGCTGTTGTCTGAACTTTCAAGGGTATTCTAAGAAAGATCAATTCATGTCAGTCACTATTCTGTCTTGGAGCACAGCTGCAAAAATCCTGAACAGAATATTAACTAACAAGTCCAGCGGTATAGAGAAAGATTAATGCTTTACAAGTTAGGTTCATTTTAGGAAGTAAGATTTAATACTCAAAAATTAATTTGTGTAATTTAATACATTAGCAGAATGGCGAAAGGGAGAACTTCATTATATGCAGAAAAGGCCATTGTTAGAACCAGTACCTGGCTGGACAAGGGGATATGCACCTATAGTCTTAGCTACTTCAAGAAACTAGGGCAGGAGAATTGTTGGACACCAGCCTGGGCAACATAGTAAAAACCTGTCTCAAAATCAACCAAACTAGCAAACAAACAAACAAACAAACAAAAAGCCAGCAACTTAAAAATCAGTGCTTATTCCTGAAAAGAAAAATTTTTACAAAGATATAAGATCATAAACATTGTAAGCTTTCAACAGTGATCTGTAATAAGACCAAGGCTTGCTGTCACCACATATTTAAACCACACTGCAAGTATAGGTTGTTCAGTGGGAAATTATAAAGATTGGAAAGGAAAAAGCAATTTTAAAGTTATTTTATTCACTTACTCATATATGTATCAGGAAGTCCCATCAACCTCATCATAACAGACCCCTAGTCTGTCTGCTTCTGTCACTCTGTTACAACCTCTTTGGCAAAGTCACCATCGTCCCTGGTCCCTGCTTTCTCATTGGTCTTCAGCTGCTCATTTCCTCCTGAGTTCTAGTGACTGTTCTACCAATAGAATAATCCTTTTAGACAAAATCACTTCACTCTCCTCAGAACGCTCATTGTAAGAAATCTGAACTCCTTCTATGGTTTATAAGGACCTCTGTGGACGGGCCCTCCCAGCTCTTCATCTTTGTTTCCTGTCATTTTAACCACACTTTTTCTACTCTGGCACCATAGTCCTTGCTTCTGTTCTAATACGCTAAAGGCATTCTCCTGTTAGGCCTTTTTTATTTGCTATTTCCTCTGCCTAAGACACTTTTCCAGGAGTTTTACAGGACTTGCTTCTTTGTGTCATTCAGATTTTTGCCAGTGCCATCTCTTTGAGGTTGTTTGCACCAACCAGCCTTATGATAGCATACTGTGTGCCCTTTTTCTCCTCTGTGTTCTTCAGAGCACTTCTCCATCAGCTGACTGATTGCTTATTCACCTGTCTTCACTGCTGGAGTAAGAGCAGAGGCTTTGCCTATCATTCAGTGCCCTTTCCTCTCTTATAATAAACATTCGGTACTTACTGAATAAAGAGAAAGAATACATTCCAAGAGACTACTCTTCTTTCCTTTCCCCTAATCTTTCCAGCTCTCTCTTTCTATTTATTTATTGTATGGGTGTGGATGTGTATATGTACATGTGTGTGCTGGTGCATGTGTGGTGGTGGTGGGGTACATGTAGAGGTCAGAGGATAACCTTGGGTGTCATTCCTCAGGTGCCCTCCACCTTTTTTTTGAGATACAGTCTCTCATTGGCCTGGATCTTTGCCAAGTAGGCTAGGCTAGCTCTTGGAATCTACCTGTTCCTGGCTCCTGTCTTGCTGTTACCGTGATTACAAATGCACACTACCATGCCCAGCTTTTTATGTGGGTTCTAGAAATCCAAACTCAGCTCTTCATGTTTACAAGGTAGATATTTAACCAATTAAGCCATCTCCTACATGTCTCTTTGATTTTAATATTCTAGCTTGTAATTTGTGGAAATTTGATAATCTGGGAGGTTTACAGATAGTAGTCGTATATTCAGATTTTACAATGAATGTGTTTACCCTATTTGCTAAGGCGATTTGTGTGGAACTTCTTCCGCCTGGAGAACGAACATCTGAATAACTGTGGTGAATTCCGTGCTGTGCGGGACATCTCTGTGGCCCCCCTGAATGCAGATGATCAAACACTCCTTGAACAGATGATGGACCAAGAGGATGGGGTGCGAAACCGCCAGAAGAATCGGTCATGGAAGTACAACCAGAGCATATCCCTGCGCAGGCCTCGCCTTGCTTCTCAGTACGTACAACTTCCACTTCAGCTTGGAATGCTGCCTCTTTTTTAACGTTGAATAACATTTACACTGAGAAGCTATTAAATTGAACCAAACGAAACTTCTGATATCCAGCCATTTTTCCTCTACAGACAGTAGTAACAACAATTCTGTATGCTCCACCTTGTAGAATGTCTTGAGCACGTAAAATAAATGTCAGTATATTACCCAGAATTGGGACTATAGAAGAACATAGGAGAAAATGTATTGGAAAATGATTTACTTGACACTTGAGCATGGTATGTTTTATATACAAGTAACCTTCAAGTTACAGACTTGAGAAATTTTGTCATTTATGTAACCTTGCCCAAATTTTTGAATTTCTCTATATTACCCCTCTTTTGTAAATTGGAGTTGATATAGTTCCTATTCATAGGATGATTAAGAAAATTAAATTCATGATTATGTAGAACTCACCCAATTCCTTCACAGAAACAGCTCAGTAAGTATAAGCTATTACTCTTATTAAATATATACACTAATGCTTTTAGCAGTCATTTACTTTATATGTTCCTAAAAGTAACAGTGCATGTAGAATATATAGTGACTTCCATATATTGATCTCTGAAATTTAGAGAGAATAGATAGCACTATAGGTTAGAATAAAAGAGCCAAGGCTTCAGTTGAACGGTTTTCTGAAAGATAGGGAGTGTTTAAATAAGGTAAAGATTATAAAAGTAGAAAATGAAGGGCAGAGAGGGAAACCATAGACTAGAAGTATACTGAGAAAATTTTAATTTCGTACTCAACTAAAGTGTCAGAAATTGGCCAGGAGGCTGAAGAGCTGGCTTAGAGGTTAAGAGCACTGACTGTTCTTTCAGAGGACACAGGTTTGGTTCCCAGTACCCACATGGCAGCTAATAGCTATCTATAACTCCAGTTCCAGGGGATCCCACATCCTCTTCTGACCTTTGTGGGCATTGCATACATATGGTGTACTTATATACATGCAGGGAAAAAAGTCACATAAAATAAAAATAAACAAAAAAAAAGTTTTTTTTAAAGACTGGCCAGGCGTACTACACTTTAATCCCAGTACTTATTAGGAGGATCAGGAGTTTCAGGATTATCTTCACTCACATAGAGAGGTCAGTGCCAGCCTGGTCTACATGAGACCCTGTCTCAAAAGTAAATAAACAGCCAAAGTGCAAGCTTAATCTTGTAGGCAGGAAAGAAACATCTTGTTTCAATGACACCACAGGATGTGGTAGGAAAGGGAGAGCTAAAGGCCAGAATACCACCTGGAAGGTTATTGTAATATTTCTAAGTATGGGATAGTGAAGACTTCGACCAGGATACTTAAGGTCAGACTCAAAGGATTAAAAGCAGAAGGTACCAGCAGTAACCCATGGCATAGTAGGAAGTAGAAGAGATACTAGAAATTTTCCAAAAAGAAAAGGTGAAAAAGAGAAAGCCAGAAAGGAAATTGAGTCTCAGGTAAGAGAAAAAATAACTAAAAGCAGTAGGATCAGTTGGGAAATCAGTAGGAAAAGCATCAAAGCCAGCGTGGTGCTGTTATGTCAAGGAAGCAGCATTTAAAGAAGCTGGGGTGGAGGAGCAGTGGTAGGTAAAAGGCTGAAGAAGATGCTGTAAGTGGGCCATAGGCTCATTGAGTTCCCGAGTTTGAAAGTCTCATGCTTGTTACCAGCAGAGGGCGGTCTAAACACACTATTTCTGTTTCAGAAATCAGGAGGCTCTTTGGCACTAAGTGATGTTGAGTTTCAGGTGTTCCATGGAAAAACACTGGCAAACTAGATTGCAGCCAGAGGAAGATGTTTAGAGTGGGAAAGAGAAAGCAGGGAATTCAAAGTGAGAAGATCTGAGCCTAAGCTCTGATTTCATGATTCATGGAGGCTTTAGCACAGCCTTAACCTTTCTGAATGTCAGGTCCCTCCCTGTCTGTCAAGTAGGAATGAGAATTCTTATTTCACAAAACACTACTTTCACCTCATGGGGCTAATGGGATGCAGAACATTTAAATATTACCTAATTCCATTTTATACTGTTTGAGAATCTCTTCCACAGCATCATAAGTAGCTGATCATTTTGTGCTGATTGAAGTTTTTAACTCTAAGACATCTGGTTTTTTCATTGGATAGTCAACACTCCAGCTCAGATTCTTTTGTGATCATTTCTCTGTTTAAACATAGCCTATTGCTGTTCTTATTCCCCTCCTCTTAGTGTTTTTCCAGAAATACTTGAAATGGAATATGAAGATCCAGCAATAGTTCCCTTCTGCAGCAGATAATGCCTGTTTAGGATATGTGTTTGATGGTGGAAAGAGTAGAAATCTGCCCAGTACTGTGAATGCTTGTATCACTCAGCTAAATGCTTGTTTCTTCTGATTCGTCTAGGTCCAAGGCCCGTGACACTAAGGTATTGATAGAAGACACAGATGACGAAGCTAACACTTGAATTCTCTGAAGTCTAGATTAACATCCTTGTTTTTCCTACTCTACGATTCTTTCCTCGACCAACGCAACCTCCAGTACCTTTTTCCAGCTGAAAACAGGAGAAAACATATAACACATTTTCCGAGCTCTTCCAGATCGGATCCTATGGACTCCAAACAAGCTCACTGTGTTTCTTTTCTTTTCTTCTGGTTTAATCTTAATTTTCTATTTTTAAAACAAATACTTCATTTGCCAATCAGAGGATGTTTTAAGGAACAAAAACATACTATCTTATGGATTGTTTACAATCACAAAGACACAGATACCTATCAGGATGAAGAACAGGCATTGAAAGGACCCTCTGATGGGACGGCACCAAGATAACTTGGCTTCTGCTTGGCACGGTTTTGACTGGTTGAAACCGGGCATTGGTTTTTAAATTTTTTGTCGGTTTATGTGGAGAATTTTTTCCTTTTGTTCATACCCAGCGCAGAAGCACTGGCCGCACTTGCAGGAAAAGTGCAACTTAGAGCAGTACCTTCATTCACGAAGCTACTTTTTAATTTGATGTAACTTTTCTTATTTGGCGGAGGGTTGCTGGGTGGGTGGGAAATATGATGTATTTGTTACATATAGTTTTCTCATTATTTATGAAATTTAACCATAAAAGAATGATATTACTCCTGTGTAATGAAGGTGACATCCATGAACAAAGGCAGGAGAAGCTACGGTGGCATTTGGAGGGTCGGGTCACATGCCTCTTTCAGGAGACAACTTGTACCAGTTTGGCTTTTCCTCTCTCTTTTTAATTTTAAGCCAAAGTTTTATTGCTGAATTTTAAGTTGCTGCTGCTTTAGAGTCCTGAGCATCTGTCATAGCAAGACATCCCATATATTTCTTCACCAGTAGAAGTTCGTGTAAGAGGGCTGATGGTTCTATTTTAGGAACAGGTGTGGAGTGCATTTGCCCCTATTCCAGTCACAACAGCAAAGTTTTGTGTGTGCCCTATTCCAGTCACAACAGGAAAGTTTTGCCGTGTGCTTCTGTGTGGGGGGAGCTGTAGGGTCACCTTTACTGACTCCAAGTTGACAGACCTACTTCAGAGACTCCTCATACCCTTATTCGATATTTTCCCTCTGGTCTCATCCACTTTAACCAGAATTTGATCAAATTCAGAGTCTGTTGTAGGGAAATCATATTTTTGAGCGTATAGAACAAACCACCCTCCTTCACACTGTATTGACACAAAAGACCTTGGCAGCCATCTTTAAACCCAGCAGTATTAAAAGGTGAACATTGGGTTTCATGACCTCCCATGATAGAAACCTGCCTTTCAGTTTGGGGGCCTCTAAACCTGGTCATACATAAAAACTACATTTCTTAGAAAAATGAGACCATTATACCCATTTTCACGTCTTTATTTCATTCCTATGTTCTCTAGAAAAAAACTAAAAAAAACCCAGCATTTTACTTTCTTGAATATGGTTGGCATTAAATCTAGCATTTCAGGATTGGGGGTCATGGTAGTAGTAACTGCCTAGCATTCTCGAGACCCTGGGTTTGATCTCCAACACTGGTGGGGTAAAACATTTCATTAAGAAAATAATATAAGTATCAGGAAAAATTAAAGTGTGTTTCAAAGCCCCCTGAAGTGGCTCAGGAGATTCATGAGAGTCAGTGTACTTCTGTCGCTTTAAGGTTAGTTCTAGACAAAGGAGCAACTAGGTGAGAAGGCAGCAGTGAACACTAACATTCACTTTCTTTTAAAAGCATGCTTGCAGGCCCTTAATTCACCCCCTTTGTTATCAGACTTTCTCCATGTATCACACATAACCATTACTCATTAAAGTTACCATCACTACTAAAATTCGACCAATTAACTGATGTCAGTTTTCTTTTAAAAGAAGTTCCTTCCATCTTTATTCTAGCAAGTTCCTAATTTTCCTCCCTTTCTGAGCTGAGATTTCCCATTACTCATACAACATTGTTGCTTCTGTTGTTTTTGTGTGTTTTGCCAGGTATGTCCCCTGGCCCCAAACTAAAAATGAAACATTTACTTTAAAAAGAAAACTTTCAATAAACTGTGCCCTTTATAGTAATAAGTGGTAACAGTTTAGTGACCCTTGGTAGATTGGAGGTTGCATTATTTCTGTTTAGGAATTTTTTTTCCTAATTAATCTGGCTTTTTAACGCTTCAAAATCCTGGGGAGAGATTTCATTGGCCCGTGAAGCGGTAGCAGCAGTATTACTGAGCACATAGAACAGTCCAATGGCTGATCATTTCTTGTACAACCAAAACCTTTAGTACTGTGCATCCAGAGCCATTTGAATCATCAGCTTCATTTATGACAACACACACAAACTCATAGCTGACTTCTGGTATTTCAACTCCTCAGTGTTTTTATATCAGTTATCATAGGGTCATTTGGTCTTTTTCTGTCTGTTAGGATTCCAGTCCCCAATCAATATTATTGCTTTCATAGATGATTCAGCAATAGAATGTATTCCTTTTCTGACACATTTAGCCTGTTGACTACCCAAAACAGGCTTATGCACTGTCAACTCTTAAAAAAATTTCTTCACCAAAAGAATTTGGGAAACAAAATACATATTTAAATTTTTCCTATGACAAAAACAGTGTGCATTTTTCTCTCTAGTTCATCTGCCACAGTCATGGTAAACATTGTGTTCTACCTAAGGTTTTATTGGATAATCCTGTACACTGAAACTCTCAATAGAAGTCTTAGAAGTGAATAAATACCATGGAGTCATTTTGTAGTCTAACCAAAGGTGAAACTGCATCAGATTGTATGTAGCTTTAGAACTCGTTTGTTTTATATGAGAACCACTTAATTTTTAATATTAGCTAAAATATTACCCCCAAAGGAATAAAAAAGAAGTATAAGCAAAAGAGTAAAAACCCATTTTTCATTTTATGATAACGTGGGAAGCAATGAGGAACAAAGGTTTTGGGAAACAAAGGGAAGTTGCTTGTGCACAATGAGTGCCTATATTTCAGGCCGCCATGCCCTTACAGTGAGAATTGATGGTTCCTATCTCACAGAGAGAACTTGCTTGAAGATTAAGTTGTCAGTAGTTGGGTTATAATGGTCATTTGTACGATTAGTGGCCTTCTGTCTCCAGGACTACATTGAGGGACACAGTGTGAAGGAAGACTACAGTAATTCAGCAGGAACCCTTAGAGAAGAGAAATATGGCCCCGCCCCTAGGAGCCATGGCTCCCCAACATTCTGAGCCAGATTTCTACAGTGTGAGCTGAGTCTTACCAGAAAGACTTTGTTAATAGGTGGTGTTTTTCCACTCTGGTCCCCTCATTTCTGAACATTCGCGCTGAGGCAAGATGAGGGCAGACCCGAGTCTTAGAAGACAGATGAGCAGTTAGCTGAAAAGTATTGAAACAATTTTGGAGATCTAGAGAAGATGCTGGGCCTCAGCAGCAGGAACTGAGTGCAGCCTGTGACCTTGGGCACAGGCCTCTCCATCCCTCATTGCCTTTATTTTCCTGTCATTTTTTCTTCTTACCTTGCATTATTCAAGAAATAGTTCTTTATTTCCAAATTCTATTTTCTAAGAAATGAGTACAAAGATTTCTAACTCTTAAGAAGAATTTCGGAACCCTCTCTCTAACTTATTTAAAGTTTGGGGATTCTCTGAAGTGATTACACTACTTCATAAATACATTTTAGGTTATTCTTTTAAGAGTTTAACAAAATTTGCCTAACTCACAAAACAAGTACTTCTTTCTATAAATAATATATTCAGATTTCTAAAATTAAGGTGACTTTTTAAAAAATTTTTATTTTTATTTTATGTGTATGTGTGTATTGCCTGCATGTAGGTAAGTACACCCGTGTTGTGCAGTGCCCTCAGAGGTCAGAAGAGGCTGTCGGATCCCCTGGGACTGGAGTTACGGATGGTTGTTAGCGTCCTTGTGGGTGTTGGGATTTGAACCCGGGTCTTCTGCAAGAACAACCAGTGTTCTTAACTGCTGAGCCATCTCTCTAGCCCCTAAGATAACTTCTTAGATTAAGAAATAATCATGTTAGAGCTATGGCTCTGTCAACCATAGAAACCACCATTCTTTTCTTGAGTCAAATAAGCCAGTATCATTACTGGCCAGGTGAAAATAGAAATTCTCATTAAACTTTTGGAAAAGGTTCATTTGTTTTCTGGTTGGTCTAATTAGTTTTCACTGGCCATTCACAAATACTTGTACATTTCTGCATTACAAATATCAGTCATGATTCTAAATCTTAAAAGCTCCCAAGTTTCTGCCTCATTTGAAATTTAGACAATGTCAGAACACCTGGTAATGTGGGATAGAATTGATTTGATTATAGCACAAGTTTGTGTTATTCAGTGTTACAAATCAACCCTCTAGCCAGCATTAACCACACTGCTCAGTAAATACTGGAATAAAAGCATCCCTTAGGTTTGGATGCTGAAGTTGAATGATACAAGAAGTTTGCCTGGTAAGGAGGAGTGCCACTGATGGGTACAGCTGCCAAAGCCCTTCTTACACAAACTGTCAAAACTAATGCTGAGTTGCCCCTTAGAAACAGCCTTCAGAGTATATTTTCTTATGGTGGAAGAGGAAGTTCAAGGGCCAAGATGAGTTTCTGCTGAAATGGGGAGAATCCTATCAATTTCCAACTGAATGTTTCCTTGTAGCAGACCTTTGGTTTATTTTATTACTAAATGCCACCTTCAGTTTTCTGGATGGTGCCATCCACCTGTGGAGGACAATCAACCTATTGTTTGCCTTGGATTCAGTGTCTTGATTGGGTCTCATCTTGTGGACATTTGGACTTGGCTGTACTGTATTCCTTTCACTGGTACCATTGAGAGTCAGAGGGCTGACCGAAGCTCTACCAGAAGGTGGACTTCCAAGAAACCGAGGATCCTGTCTCTGTCTCTTGAATTATATCTGAAGCTCCTGCCTGCACTTCCCCCATTGTCCATGGCACTGCCAGCGTGGTATGGATAGGGAGAAGGATTGTGGGACATCCCAGAGGAGTAATTGTGACATTGTTACGGTTTTGAACTGTTAAGGTAAAATTATGAGCCACTCCTATTTCAGTTGCAAAAAACAAAATCCTTGAAGCTTTGCTACATTGTGAAGATTGATTTTGTGCTGTTTTCTGGATTAGCACAGAAGCTTGTATCCATGAAGTGAATTTAGGAGGGGAATGGGGTGAAACTTGTTTTCTTTTCAAACCCTCTCCCACTACTGTGTTTCCCATGCACACACACCCTTCTCCACACTGTGTTGGTCAAATGATGCTATTCTATGAATCCCTGAGCTATAGTTGTCAAAAGTAACTATGGATTGTGATTAGTCCTCTGTGGGTGATCCTTTCCCTGTTCTCCCTTGCTTTCTTTCCTACTCTCCACTCTGGTAAATGGAAAAGGTGACGTCAAAGAATCAGTGTTTGCTTGGACTCATGTCGTGTCTGTGACTATGCTATTAGCTGTCTCCCTTTTCCTTCTTCTATGGGTAGAATTCTAATGACATGTGGAGCTCCCTTCTGGATAAGTAGGTTTAAATGCACAATGTGGTACTGTTCTATAGTTCCTAGATGGTTGTAAAAAGCAAAAAGTTAATGTGGTTATGTGTTTTTAAAAGAAAATAAGTGATTGGTTACAAAACTGTCCTTTTTTCATTATTACAAGCTCTTTTCCAACAGTTTGCTGACTCTTTTTCACTGGTAAATGGTTGTTGTCACTGTGTATTTCTCTCCAGGTTTCTTGGATTCCTGAATGTGATTCCCCTTAGCACTAATTTCTGTATGGGCCTAACATGAATACATCACAATAGTAAATTAGAAATATTTTATTAAATTCAAAAATAATCTTAAAGGAGCCAGGTGTGGTAGGTTAGGCCTATAATTCCAGCACACTGGAGCCTGAAGCAGGGGATTTGTTGTGAGTTTGGTTGAGGCGGGTGCGGTTACATAGTGAGTTCCAGACCAGTCTGGGCTATAGAGGGAGATCTTTTCTCAAAGAAGCAAACAAAAACTTCAATGGCCTTTTCTCTTTGGGTATGGCTCTAAAACAATGGAATTGATCAGCAAGTATTTTTTTAAATTATCCTCAAATATTAGGTGAGACACTATAATTGCATGTTGGAAAGCTGCACCTTGTTGCATGCACGTGCACGCCCTCTGTGGGAACATTGCACTTCGTGCAGGATTCCTACTATTTGAATAGGAAAAAATACCAAATTAACTGACCCAAAGATAACTAGATCCAAAATGAAAAGGGAAATAATTTGTTGACTAAGGTATCAAAGTCTTTACATTTTATTTTAATGTTACCCCTCTTCTTAGTATCTCTTTGTAGGCTGAAAAGCATGTCATGATGGGGGTTTCTAAGCCAGAGTCAAGCTAGGTTGCATGCAGGCTGAACCACTAGATCTCCACCACCTTTGCCTGTAACTTGCATTTGTGTGCCATTGTTCTCATGCTCAGCACATCCACAGCACTGCATTGTGGTCAGTTTCCATGTTCATAGAGATGTCAGACCCAGAGCAGCCGAATCTACAGTCCTAGGTGATTCTAGGAGCCCACTGTCTCTTTTTACCACTTTAGACACATCCAGAACCCTTGGGCCTTCAGTAATTTGTTTCTTTATTGTTATTTATTATTAAACCTTTTTTCTTTTTTTTTAATGTGTATGCATATATTGCCTGCATGTATGTAAGGGCACCCATGTTGTGCAATGCCTGTGGAGTTCAGAAGAGGGCGTTGGATCCCCTGGAACTGGCGTTACAGACAGTTGTTAGCCGCCTTGTGGGTACTAGAAACTGAACTTGGGTCCTCTGCCAGAGCAGCCAGTGCTCTTAACCTTAGAGCCATCTTTCCAGCCCCTAAACCTTTTTCAAAGGTTACAAAAATAATAGTTTATCCTTTCTGACTCACTTTCTGGCTTCCCACTTTTTCCCATAAGAGCATTGTAGAGTTGTTTTTCTTTTTTAAAAATTAATTTACATGTTTATCAAGGTCCTGTCATGTGCTTGGCATTACTTAATTTGGGTTAAAGTTGGTTTCCTTACTAGTTTTATGGAGATAAGAGACAATTAAAAAAAAAATCATTTAAAAGCTACTTTTCTGAAACCATTGGCAAGAAGGGAAAAGAAAGAAAGAAAAAAGCCAGACTCCTACTGGCACCCAGGAAAGGCTGAATTTTTTCCACCAAATTACAGGCATCATTTCACCCCTTTCTAGGCAAGAAGCAAAGCCTATTCTAGTTTCTTATCCCTTAAAAACAAAAAGTGTGGGGCACAACAAGATGGCAGCTAAGACATTCCTGGTGCTATCTCCTCACAGACAAACCAAGTTGAACAGCTGCTTGAATACCAAACCACATTCCTAAACTAATGAAATCCAATGAATGGCTGTAGTGCTGGATTTTAGTGTAACAAAATGAAAAGACATTGAAGGCAAGAAAGAGATGCCCTGAACACACCGCTCTCCAACTCCAAACAACCCAAGAAACATTACCCTCCTACCAAAGGGAGCACTCAGTTAATTCCCTGTTAAGTTGCCTTAAACTTGAAACTGAGTACCAGGTTTACCATGGTAAAAATCCAGGGGCTCGCTCTTGGGGTAAGCGCTGGGACTCCCTAAGCCACATTCACCCTTCCATCCCCCCCCTCGCCGTTCTATACTCCTAGTTTGAGCCCTGTGCCACTCCTAGTCTTGGGGCCCCAGACACCTGGGGAACCAATACTGCTTCCTGACCCTTCTCACCCAGAGCAACCCAGTCCCTTTCTTGGGCTCCAGGAGCACCACTTCTGGTCCTGGCCC